GATGGTTATTAGCAGATTCCCTTATCCCCAACAATTGAGAGTGGCATCCCAATGATTATTTTTTTTTGCCTGCACACTATTAGGTGGAAACTTTTCACTGCTTTCCTTCATCTCCTTCAAAGTTAGCTTCTTCATGACGCCTCCTTTTTGTTGACTTTGTTCAATGAACTCAGCATGCTCTTTGAGTGAAATCTCTAGAGATGCTTAAGTTGGTTGTGTCATAGCTTGAAGCTTTTCTACAGCCCCTTGGAACAATTGCTGTGCAGGAATTGCACATAGCTGTCGAATGTGTTGACTGGGGTAGAGTAAAAATTTTCCAGATGGCTGATCCACCATTTTGGGAACCACGTGAGCCTCTGTGCTGCGTGTCGCTAGCACATGACGTTGTTCACATTTCTCAGACTGAATAGATCTGCCCTAGATCTGGCCCACTGTCACCAATACCCAATTTAAAATGTTTTTCAGTATCAGGACTGATACAGACATCATCGTATCAGTGCATCTAATTGTAACTTTTAATGGAAGTTTCTTTAAAGTGTGTTGGTTACATGTTACCTGAGCACTTCCTGACCCCCATTAGACTCAAACACCTCCCAGACTGAAAGCTACATCTCTTACAGTTGCCCGTATGACATTGCTTTGCAGTCAGATAAAGTTATTATTTAGCAAATGTGTTTGCATGTGTTTTTATAAAGGTTTAAAGACTATTTGGTATATTCACAATCAATTTGGTGAAACACTGCTTTTCAGTGTTCCTGAAATTTGCTATCCATGAAAATTTATCTGTCTATGCTGTATTGTTCTGGATACTGAAAATAAAGACTGACTGAGCCTGAGGCTTGATAAAAAAAAAAGACGAAAGTCCTGTGTAGCTTTAAAATGCCACTTTTGTTGCAGATGGTGCTGAAAAGCTCAGACATCACAAGGTGCAGACGACTATTCTAAAGTCAGAGGATTTGAACAGTCCATTTAGTTCACAACTGTCATGAATCTGTGTGCCCTTTCCTCTTTATTACAGCTACAGCACAGCTTGTTGTGTATTGTGTTTGAATGTGTGTGCTCTGTGATTTGGTGTGATGTAAAATTGTAACCGATTGTCTTCTTCTGCTCACACTCCATTCTCATATGAGGTCAGTGTATCTGCAAAACAGATCACTCTACTGAGCATATAAAGTTTGTCTGAAAACTTTATAAGTATTTGGGTTAATTGTTTTTGTGGATGTTCAAATTTTCAAACATTTTCATACAAATTTTTTCTGGGTTTTTTTTTGTGTTAAACCATTAATTCATATTCATATTTCCCTTTTGAAAACATCTAAAATTGGCATCTAATGAGGTCTTCAAATGACAGACAGATGTTTGTCAGAGTTTGTTAATGCACCTCCATCTGTTGGAGCTCCCACACATTATCACTCGCCTCCCTCTTCTCTGCCCTCACATCCCTGTGTGTTTCATCAGAAATGGGAATCTGAGTGACTCTGGGCAGACAAACAGCTGGAGCACACAGCAGCCTGTCACACCCAGTGTTCCCTGTTCTGTACCAGTTTCACTTACTCAAGGAGCAATGTTGCGTTACATCCTGTACATTTAGATTACAACAATACAGTTGTGTAAAGGAAAGAGCCGCCCTAAAACTGGTATGGAGAACAACAGTATGTTGTGTTTGTTTGCAGAATAAGACAATGGTTTATAGTAGCATGTCAAACCTTATCTATCAGTCAGTCAAACAGTATAATTGAGTAAATACATTTAGTTGTCAAAACAGGCATTTTAATTGGAAAAAAAAATCCTTCAAGTAGTTACACTGGTTCGCCTTTTTTAGCTATTTAAACCTATATTTTTATTTCAGTTTTTAACTAAAATACATAATTAAATTGCAGTCAGTAGTCTGTTTTTATTACGCTGGAAATGAATCTAGATTATTTTTTACTGCAAATAGTTTTATCTGAATATAAAATCTCTGTAGCAACTTCTGAGAATAATTTTGACAATAATTGCCAATGTTGTTGTTTTTTCCTTTAGATCTGGTTTTATTATTTCATTTAAGCCCATGTCTCACAATGCTGCCTCAAATTGTGGACAACCTTTGCAGAGACTTATCAGGATGCCTGGAAACCTTTGCAAGGTTTCTCCATTTCCTCATGCAAGTCACGAAATACCAGGTCTGTGATGCCCTTAGATGTCTGTGGATGTTCAAGCGTCAAAATGCTTTACATTTTATTTATTTTCTTTTAACTTCTACAATTGGTGCTTAAAGGGTATGTTTCACAGACATATGTCAACCCTGTGTACGTTTACATGTATACTGACCTTCAGAAATACAAATTTCACAAAAAAATCAGAAGTACTCAAATGATTCAAAAGGGTGTGGGTTACTATGGATGGTGTTATATGGTAAATGGACTGTACTGTACTTATATAATGTCTTTCTATCCAATCAGGATCCTCAAAGCAATTTACACAATCTGTACCCTCATTTACCCATTCACACAGCACTGTAAGTTATGGTTGCGTTCTTGAGTTTTGCTCAAATCAGGGAAACGTCTAAACATGCAGGAAAGGAGTCCTTGAGGACTAGGGTTGAGAATCACTGCTTTAATACATGTTATCTGATTTATTATTTACAAATAAATAGCAAAGAATCAATGGCTTCCAGAGGCAACACTAAAAATCATAAAACTAAGTCTATTATATTTTGAAAATGTCTCATTCAGCTCAAAGAAGATCTTGAGGTGTTGGTCAACATTTAAAGCAGTGATTTTTAGATGTTTCCCTGATTTGACACAGCTGCTTTGAATGAATGAGTGATTAACAATTTTCTGAAGACCTGCTGAAAAGCATGGAAACAACCAAAACATGCTGGATGGGGGTACTCGAGGACCATTGTTGGGAACCACTGCTATATAATCAGTGCTTAATACACTGATGGGACACATATCTGAGGCACTTGGGTTTCAATGTCTTGCCCAGGGACAATGTGACATGTGACTGAATAGCAAAAATCAAACCCCAACTCTCTTATTGGAGGACGACACCCCTAACTACTTAACCACCCCGTGTTGTTTCTGGGTAGATAATGATGTAGGCTGGGCAGAGAGTTAGGAGAGTTGACGGCATCTTTGGCGGAGCAGGTACAGGAGGAGAAGGAGACACATTTTGTATGTCCTCACAGGCAGGGAAAATTTAAAAATTATAAGTATACTGTAGTTCTTGAAAAAGAAAAAGGTTTTTTCTATATGTCCATATATATCCAAAAAGGTGAAAATCCATGTAGTTTATAGACAATTTAAAGTGGAGGTGTGCAATATATATTCATATATATATATATACACTGTAAAAAATGAAATGTTGGATTTACTTAACCATGTTATGTTACCTGGTTCCACTTAACTGAGTTGAGTAAATTCAAAGCAA